TGTACACAGCGATGGCATGAGAATGGGAGTGGAAGTGATCAAGAAAAAGAGAGCAGGAAGCCACCATAGGCAGTTGGGCTTTCGAGCAAGGGAGTGAGAAAGAACAGACCCGAACAACTGGAACTTCCCAGGGGGGTAGGGAAAAGTGAGATGCTACATGAACATATAAAGGTGGTAACTGAAGGGAAGAAAAGAGCAAATGTAGGCGAAGAGAAAAGGGATGGAGCAAACAGGGGCGGCGAACAAATAAAGAATGTCTACTAATATCGGTGACCATTCTATAAATGGAAGGATTGTGGAGATCATGAGAGCGTACATAGTACCGAAGGCAATGGGCATCACGGCGATCAGACAAGGATGGAACATTCGCTTCTGCATAGAGGCTCTCAACAGGGGAAGAGCGAAAAGCACCAAGGCATAAACGTAATCCTTGGTGATGGATGGGGTTAAGGCTAGAGAGAGTAACAGGAGAGGCCACTGAATAAATCTGGTCACCATAATCGAGTTTCGATAAAATGAGGGCTGAATGTAGGTGAAGCAGAGTTCGACGATCAGCTCCCCAGGAAAGACGAGCAAGGGTTTTAAGAAGGTTTAGCCGGCTATAAAATGAGGGCTGAATGTAGGTGAAGCAGAGTTTGACGATCAGCTCCCAAGGAAAGACGAGCAAGGGTTTTAAGAAGGTTTAGCCGGCTGTGACAAGTTGCCTTCAGAGAGGTAATATGATGTTTCCAGAAAAACCTACAGTCAAAGAGAAGGCCTAGAAACCTGACTGTATCACGTTCGGGGATACGAGAGCCATAGAGATACAAAGGATGATCAGAGATGACAGAGCATCTAGTGAAAGTAATTTGGTGAGTTTTGGTACTGGAAAATTTAAACCCATGCATGGTGGCCCAATTGGAAACACAGTCGACCTCATGCTGGAGAGAAACTGCAATGAGATGACAGTCAGCACCTGCACAAGCAATAGCGAAGTCATCACCATAGAGTGATGACCAAATATTGGGTTGAAGAACAGAGGCCAAATCATTTATAGCAAGGAGAAAAAGTGTTGTGCTCACAACATATCCCTGAGGGACACCTTCATCTTGGATAAAGTCCGGGGAAAGCACATTATTGACTCGAAGACGGAAGTGTTTGTCAGTTAGAAAGTTCTTTATTGACTCGAAGACGGAAGTGTTTGTCAGTTAGAAAGTTCTTTATTGACTCGAAGACAGAAGTGTTTGTCAGTTAGAAAGTTCTTAAGGATGGTAGATTGCCTCGGAGGCCTAAGGAGTGGGCTTAGGCCAAAATATTATACCTCCAAGTTGTGTCATATGCCTTCTCAAGGTCAAAAAATAAGGCAATAACTGAGTGATTATTTGCAAAGGCATTACGAACATACGTATCCAAGCATAGTAAGGGGTCTATGGTAGAACGGCCATTACGAAAGCCATATTGACTAGCGGAGAGACTGTTGTGTGTCTCTAAATACCACAATAAACGGGAATTTACCAGACGTTCCATCACTTTGCAAACTGCACTAGTAAGAGTGATGGAATGATAGTGGGAGGCATCATGTCCTGTAGTACCCGGCTTGCGGAAAGGGAGAACAATGGCAGATTTCCACAGCTGTGGAAGAACTCCTTGTGCCCAAATAAGATTGAAGAGGTGTAAGAGGGCTACAAGGGCTGACTGATGTAAATGTTGTAACATACAAATATGAATGTCGTCATGTCTAGCTGCTGATGATCGGCAAGCTGAGAGTGTTGCCTCCAGTTCCTGAAGTGTAAAAGGCACATTATACTGTTCTTCTCTGAGAGAAGAAAAGTCCAAGGGTACTAACTCTCTGGCAGACTTTGACAAAAGAAACGAGGGGCATAGATGGAGCCCTCGGGAAATAGGGACAAGATGAGTGCCAATTTCAATGGCAACGTCAAGAGGATTTGCTACATCAATACCGGCAACCCGTAGAACAGGAGCCGGGTCAGGAGAGTATTTACCACTCAATTTCCTCACTTTTTTCCAGACTGCACTCATAGAGGAAGCAGAGGTGAAGGTGGAAACATAATCTCGCCAGCAAGTGCATTTAGCATCATGGATGACACGGCGAGCGATCAGACGCTTCTGCTTAAAATCAAGAAGTCTCTCATTGGTTCTATTGTATCGGTACCTGCCCCATGCAGTGCATTTCAAACTTACTGAACGAGCACAAGTAGGAGACCACCAAGGCACGCACTTCTGAGAATGCTTGCTCGAGGTTTGGGGTATAGAATGAGAAGCTGCAGTATAAACTGATGTCGAGAAGAGGTGTAGGAGCGCATGAATGGAGGATGAAGAAGGAACCTCACTAAAAGCAGTGAGTTGTGAGTAAAGGTCCCAATTTGCCCGATCAAATTGCCAGCGAGGGCTACGGAAAGGTGGTGAATATGAAGAAGTAAGAATGATTGGAAAATTATCGCTGTCATGTAAGTCCGGTAGAACAGACCAGGTGAAGTCTAGTGCAGTGGAGGAAGAGCAGACTGACAGATCGATGCAAGAGAGAGTATGAGTACGAGGATCAAAATGGGTGGGAGTACCCATATTTAAAACATGGAGGGGGTGAGAGGCGAGAAAAGCCTCCAACTGGATGCCATGTGAGTCACAATGAGACCCCCCCCAGAGGAAATGGTGGGCGTTAAAATCACCAAGTAACAGAAGTGGTGGTGGTAAGGATGAAACAAGAAAGGCAAAGTCTGGGATAGAAAATGCTTGAGAAGGAGAGAGATATAAAGAACATATTGTAAACCACTTATTCAAGTGGATACGGGCTGCAGTGTAATGCAGCGAGGTATGGACAAATAGTTGACAGTACGGAATATCATTGCATAGAAGAAGGGCACTTTTATTAAAGGTCCCATCTGAGAAAGGATCCGAAGAATACAATAAATTATAGCCTGAGACAGGTTGGAAAACAGCTGAGTGTAATTTTGGTTCTTGTAAGCAAGCACCAACAGGGGAGAACCTGGAAAGCAACATCTGAAGCTCACCCCGATTACCCTGAGGCCGCGGATATTTCACTGTAAATAGGCCATGATTGGCGATGAAGAAAATACCAGGAATCCGTAGGGAAAGGCACCTACGGACTAGAGGGTTTAGAAAAGTCAATGTGTGGTGGCATTGGAAGACGTTCAAGCAGCGAAGGAACGGAGCATTGCGAAGAATGGGGTTGTGAAGATGGAGGAGAGGGAAGAGATGGAACAGGAAGTGAATCAGTGTCAATTGAAGGTTTAGTCTCTGCAATATATTCTGAAATGTCTTCAAGTGTTTCTGAATTCAAAGATGTATGGGAGACCATATTGGAGGTAGAAGGGGGAGGGTGAGTAAAGATTGGGACAGTAATGGACTGTACCAAAGTAGAGGGGGGCGAAAGAGTGTAAGGGACTGGAGATGAAGTGTGGGGGGGGGAGAGAAGAGGCAGAAACCTGGGAGGTGGCAGAAGAGGGAGAAACTTGGGAGGGGACGGGGGTGTAAGGCATAGTACGAGGAGGAGGGTGAATCTCCACACTTGTAATAGAGCCAGAGAGAGGGGAAGAACTAGGCACAGAGACTGGAAAGGTAAAGTGTGGAGGTGAAAGAAGGGAAGGAAGGGGCAAAGAAGATTTGAGCAATGTGGATTTTTTTGACTTCTGAGAAGTAAAGGGGCGATTGGTACAAGGTGTTGTACGAGGTCTTGTCGATACTGGGGCTTGTGAGGAAGGATGCGAAGATGTGAGAACAGACTGAGTTGTAGTCGGGACGTCAGAGCCAAGGACAGCAAAAGGATTAGATGCCGGAGTGGCTATGGGAGGGGTAACAACAGAGGAGGCTGCAGAAGATGGGACCCCAGAAGTGGGGGGATGTTTTGAAACACGAGAATAAGAAACACGGGGTAGTCTTCCTTGGAGGTGGAGATGAGTAACTGCCATAGCATAAGGGAGACCTTCTGCCTCTTTGAGGCAATGGATTTCACGTTCATTTAAGTAGACCTGGCAACGGCGGGAGTACGAAGGGTGAGCTTCATTACAATTAAGGCAAGATGGAGGTTGACTGCAAGATGTATTAGAATGGTCGCTGGCACCACAGACTTGGCATTCGGCTATTGATCTGCAATATTTCGCTGGGTGACCAAAACTCCAGCAATTTCTACACTGTTGCGGTGTAGGTATCACCTTTCGAACTTGTAACCGATGTCCTGCGACATATACAGAGGACGGGAGTTCTCGGCTGTCAAAAGTTAAACGAGCCACATTGCAAGGGTAACGTCTCTGCCAACGGGCAGGAAGGACATAAGTGTCTACTTTCAGGATTGAGAGATCCTGGAGTTCCAGCTGTTCAAGAATGTCATTGCCACATGACTGGAAATTCTGTTGGACTATGGTATGGGGCAGAATAACAGTACCACAACAAGAATTGAGAGAAAGATGTTTTTCAGTAGTGATAGGAGTAGTATTGATATTCAAAAGGAGAGAAAGATCATGAGCTTGGGTAGCATTCTGGACTGTGATGGTGCGCGTACCGCTCTTGAGAGCAAGAAATGAAATATCTCTACCAACATGATGCAGGAGCGCTTTGCCAATACTATGGTCAGAAAGATAGGCACAAGAAGAAGTCGGTCTTAAAGTAAAGAATTTAGTCCATTGTGTGGTCTGAAACTGAGCGTGGAGAGGGAGTGCATGACGTGTTGGTCTTTTCCGAGTAGAATGGGAAGGTAACGAAGGAGCATCATCAGGAGATTGACGTTGGTGTTTAGGAGTAGGACAGGAGTTGGTCTGGCATGAAATGGGCTGGTGATTCGAAAATTGCCGCACCGTAGAGGGAGAGGCCAGAAGCATAGTCAAAGGAGAGCAGAGGTCAGACAAATTGAAGGAGTCAGTCGAAGCCCCGGTACCTGAAGCGGGTGAGGAAACAGCACCAGCAAGAGTTACAGGGGCATCAGGAGTGTCCGAAGAGTGGTCTAAAAACAAGGCAGGGTCAGAATGGGGTGCGGCATCAAGAAGGGGTTCGGGGGTAGTAGGTTCATGGATTGGGTTCTCCATGGTTAGGTTACTCCTTTGCTTTTTGTTTTTAAGAAAAAAAAAGAAAGAAGAAAAAATAAAAATAAAAAAAGAATAAAAAAAGGGGTGAGCAGGGAGGAATAGTTCCCAGGAGGAATGAAAGGGCAGGAAATCTCCCTCCGCGCCCAAGAGGACCTCAGCACTGCTAGTAGTGCAGATGCAGCATGGAACCCATGCCATACCCTACCTTTCATGCCAGTAAACCAGCAATCCGGGATAGCAACCTCACATCTGCCGAGCTACCTCGGTGGACAAAAGAGAGGGCGGCCGGGTATCTGCTACAAAGCATACCTCCTTCGTCCACCACCCCCAGAATCCGAAAGGTGGCTTCCAAAGATACACTCGTCGCCTGAAAGACACCAAAAGCTACTCCGGGGTACTGGAGAGGGATCAGGACATCCCCAGGTGATCCAGATTCCACGGCAAACTATGCCACCGCCACGAACCTCAATGGAATGAGATGGACCCCGGTATCCTTTCCCCTACCTAGGAACTAACGTGCCTGTGGGAGAAATCCCTAAGGCCAAAAAGAGGAAGGACAAAAGGGAGGGGTGGGGAGGAGGAGGAGGAAAGGGAAAAGGGGAGGATGGGGAGGATGGGATAGGGAGGGGGGGATTGGGGGGTAATTAGGTTCGGTCTGAGGAAGGAGATTGACAGGTCTGATTCCTCAGACCAAGAGCCTCTTCACCACAACAAGGAGCCCCCCTTGAAGAGGACTGCTCAATAAAGTGATCAGAAAATACTAATTTTTCAAATTTCACACAAAATTCAAGAAAAACCATTTTCAAAATAGGGTCCAGAATAAATAATGAAAGACATTCCTGACACTAAAATAACATTTTCTCTGTTCATTCGTCACCTCTCCAGGAACTTCTTTGAATATGCTTGCTTTTCATTTCAAATTTTTATTCACACACAAAAAAGATTTGCTCTAATTCATACAACTGTATAATTATAATAATTGTACTATTGAAACTACTGTACAACTTAAACTACAATAAATTTCTTAAGTATTAAGTAGTCTGTAAGCCATTAAATTAAGTCTGCCCATAATGCCTAGGCATGATAGTGGCTCTCTTTGTACTGCAACACATTACTGTAATTACAGTGAAACCTCAAATATCAAATGTATCGCTTATCAAAAACTTCCAAAATTGACTGCTTTTCAAACCAATTTTGACCCTAATATTGAACTCGTCCTTATTTTCAAACTGCCGGGTACTGGACCTGTCTGCCAGCCCACTCTATCCACGCCCCCATGCAGGTGCCATGAACCAGTCTGGTTTTGTTGATGCTTGAGTGAACACTAACCTGCACTTTCATTCAAACATTTTATGATTAATTCATTGCTTGTGGGACCGTGAAATAAGCTACCATGGGCCCAAAGAAACTTGCTAGTGGTACCCCATGGTAAAGAAAGTGAGAAACACCATAGATGTGAAGAAGGAAATAACAGAGAAGCATTAGAGTGGTTTGAAACTTTATGGCTCGCTATGATGTATGGGAAAAACAAATCGACCATCGTTTCTATCCTGGCAAAGAAAGAGCAAATCAAGGAAGCTGATGTTGCAAAAGGTGTTAACTTGCTAACCAAAAAAAGACCACATACAATCGATCAGGTTGAGAAGTTGTTGCTGGTGTGGATCAAGGATAAAGAAATGGCAGGTGATAGTCTTTCAGAGACGATTATTTGTGAAAAGGCAAGGAAGTTGCATGCCGATTTAAAGATTAAGGAGATATGCGCCAAGTGGAATGATGTCCAAATGTTTGCGGAGAAGTACCACCCTGAAGAAGCTGAAACAAGCCATCTTTGCAACAAGTTCAGTGACAGAACCGTGTCCCATTTTAGGAAATCTTAAAGACGTGCCAGAAACAGAGGACTGAAGACAGTTATTTTGTGAGACAGGGGTACAGTGACTCTCAAGCTGGTCCTAGTGGCATTAAAAGACAGAGAAGGGAAGTAACCCCAGAAATGGCTTTGATACCTAAAGTCCTTATGGAGGGGGATTCCCCTTCCAAACACTAACCCCAACTCCCTCTCTCCTCCTCCCTGTCTTCCAGGTGCCATCACCAGTCTTCAATAAAGGCAAGTAAAAATGTTATTTTACATGTTTATTTTAATTTTTTAATACATAATTGTACACTATATTTGTTGTGTGTATGTAAAACTATAATTAATCACTATAAAATGTATTTTTGTTTTTTGTAAATATTTTTGGGTTTCTGGAATGGATTAATTGCATTTCCATTATTTCTAATGGAAAATATTGCTTCGCTTTTCAAACTTTTTGAATTTTGAACTAGCTTCTAGAATGGATTAAGTTCAAAATTTGAGGTTCCACTGTACATAATCTCAATGTATTCAGTTGCAAAGAAATAAAATTGACTATTGACTAATATCAACCCATTCATGACCTCATATTAAACCAGCCAGTTGCAAGCATATTGGATGCACAACATGATTTGTTTACTCTTGAAGACTGGGAAAAATTGGACATTTCCACTACTTTGAACTTAATTCCAAGCTACTTTTAGTCTGTAAACGGTTGACAATCGTCCTCCATCTCAATCCCTCAAACCCGAGTGAAATGAAATTTAGCTTACAGAAACCTCTAATTCTACAAAATATTTTCCATTGTATCAAATGAGGCCAAGAAACTGAGACTATAAATATAAAATCCATATGAACAGTGGACCCTCAACCAATAGTGGCGTCGACTAATGCCAAAATTGACCAACGGCGCTCTTTGGCATCAAAAAATTGAGTCTACCAATGCCGAAAAACTTGTTTAACGGCTTTCGTCCCAGACGTGTCCATGTGGCCAGAGCGCGACCTGAGCGGGCCCAGCCACTCCAAGACTCCATGTACCGCAAGTGTTTACAAGTCATTTCAGTCGATCCCACATGTACCTGTGATATATTTTATATTCTTCCAGTGTTTTTAGAGCTTGTAACTGCTACATAAGCCACCATGGGCCCCAAGAAAGCTTCTAGTGCCAAGCCTGTGGTAAAAAGGGTGAGAATTACAATGGAAATGAAAAAAGAGATCATTGAAAAATATGAAAGTGGAGTGTGCATGTCTGAGTTGAAAAGGTTATATAACAAACCCTATTCAACCATCACTACTACCATGGCTAACAGAAACACAATCAAAGAAGCTGTTGTTGCGAAAGGTGCAAGAATGTTTTCAAAACAGAGATTGCAAATAATTGAAGAGGTGGAGAGACTGTTGTTGGTGTGGATAAATGAAAAACAATTATCAGGAGATAGTGTTTCTCAGTAAATAATATGTGAAAAGGCAAGGCAGTTGCATGATGATTTCATTAAGAAAATGCCTCCAAATAGTGATGATACTGATGAATTTAAGGCCAGCAAAGGCTGGTTTGAGAGATTTAAGAATCATAGTGGTAAACACAGTGTGATAAGGCATGGTGAGGCTGCCAGTTCACAAAAAAAAGCGGCTGAAAAGTATGTGCAGGACTCTAAGAAGTACATATAAAAACTGAAAACTTAAAACCTGAACAAGTGTTTAATTGTGATGAAACAGGCCTGTTGTGGAAGAAAATGCCAAACAGGACCTACATTACTCAGGATGAAAAAGCACTCCCAGGACAGAAGCCTATGAAAGACAGGCTCACACTTATGTTACACAGGAATGCTAGTGGTGATTACAAAGTGAAACCTTTGCTCATGTATCACTCTGACACTCCCAGAGTGTTCAAGAAAAACAATATCGTCAAGGGTAATTTGTGTGTGATGAAGAGACCAAACAGTAAGGCATGAGTCACTAAGGAAATTTTCCTGGACTGGTTTTATGGTGTGTTTGACCCTACAGTGAAAAATTACCTCCTGGAAAAGAAACTGTCACTTAAGTGCCTCCTGATAATGGACAATGAATCCTCCTGCTCATCCTCACGATTTGCAAGAGCAAATTGTGCGGGAGTTTAGCTTCAGAAAAGTTAAATTTTTGCCTCCTAATACAAATCTTCTCCTCCAGCCCATGGACCAGCAGGTCATTTCAAACTTTAAGAAACTCTACACAAAAGGAGTGTTTCAAAAGAGAGTTTTGGTAAGACAACTTCAATATCTTCAGTTGCATAAACCTTACAGGTAAGGATTGGTAGGGAGTGACTTGCAGGACTTTGAACTCTGCTTGTAGAAAACTGTGGCCACAATGTGTACAAGAGAGGGATTTTGAAGGGTTTGTGGCTAACCCTCAAGAGCCTATGCTAGTTGTGGAATCAATTGTGTCACTGGGGAAGTCCATGGGGTTGGAGGATTGTGACAAGTATGTGGAAGAGTTAGTGCAGAATGACGATGAACTAACCATTGCAGAGCTGCAAGAGCTTGAGGCACAACAGCAACAGATCACAGCTCAGCAATGTGCTTCAGAGCAGGAGGAAGAGAGATGGAGAAAGTTGCCTTCGTCAAGGATTAAGGAAATGTGTACAATGTTTACAAAGGTGCAAGCATTTATGGACGAATTTTATCCTGTCACAGCTGTTGCAAAACGTATTGGCAACATGTACAATGGCACTCTTGAGTCCCATTTTAGGGAAATCCTAAGGGCATGTGAGAAACAGAGCTCTCTGGACATATATTTTGTCCAACAGGGATCCAGTGATTCTCAAGCTGGTCCTAGTGGCATTAAAAAGCAAGAAGGGAGGTAACCCCAGCAAAGGATGTGGTACCTGAAGTCTTTATGGAAGGAGATTCCCCTTCCAAACAATAGAATCTCCCCTGCTGCTGGAACATCATTCATCATCTCAATAATAAAGGTAACTGGCATTTAATTATTGTTTAGTTTGCATGTACCATTCATTTCTGCATAGGGAAATGTATACAGAGGACCCTCGAGTTTCGGCAGCCTCGACTTTCGTGAAATTCGACCTTTGGCGAGTTTTTTTGGAAAAATTTGGCCTCGAGTTTCATGAAAAACTCATGTTTCGGCGACCGTCCGGAACATAAGAACATAAAAAAGAAGGAACACTGCAACAGGCCTACTGACCCATGCAGAGCAGGTCCATTCCCTCCCCCCTGGATTAGACCAATGACTCTTCACTGGATTATCCCAATGACCCACCCAGTCTGGTCATCCCCACTCAAGGATGGAGCACTGTACCAGACCCAGCAGC